TGAGGTCTGCAAGAGTACACCCTGGTGGAAATGAAGACAAATTAAGTCAGAATGAAGACTGCACACGCAGCCATTCCCCTCACATCTCAACATATACATCAACACGTACATACATGACGCATGAAATTTGCATCTTTGAATTCATCATCATGAGCAATAAAAACCTTGATTTTCCTCCCTTGAGGGCAAATTCAACAGCAAATAAATTTCATTTGGGCATACATCAAGCATACATCATCAGGATAGTTACATCCATATACATTTTACAGATATTTCAGGAGAATATGAGATTAAAAGCCAACTCGACAGATTGAAAGATCGACATTCATCTCCAGATTCAACATTTCCAATATAAACTGTCTCACTTAAGACAGTCTCATTTAATGCAGATGATTATCTCACTCAAATTTGTTTTTCTTAAAACATAATTTGTCTCACTTGAGACTGTTTTTCTCGAAAGAAGATTTATTTCACTCAAGATTGTTTTTCTTAAAACAAGATTTGTCTCGCTTGAGACCGTTTTCACTCGAAAGAAGGCATTTCATTTCACTCAAGGCTGTTTTTTTAAGAAGATTTTATCTTGCTTGAGATAGTTTCCCTCGAAACAGAAAATTTCGTCTCCCTTGAGATAGTTTCTCTTAAAAACATTTCCCTTGAAATTAATTTTTTCTCTCCTGAGATAGTTTCCCTCGAAACAGAAAATTTTGTCTCCCTTAAGACAGTTTCTCTTGAAACATAAACATTGAAAACATTTCCCTTGAAATGATTTTTTTTTCTCTCTTGAGATAGTTTCCCTACAGAAAATTTTGTCTCCCTTGAGACAGTTTCTCTTGAAACATAAACATTGAAAACATTTCCCTTGAAATGAATTTTATCTCGCTTGAGATAGTTTCCCTTGAAACGAATTTTGTCTCCCTTGAGACAGTTTCTCTCCAAACATAAACTTTGAAAACAATTTAACGAAATCTTTGAATATGTTTTCCTTCAAACAAATTTTGTCTCCCTTGAGACAGTTTCTCTTGAAACGACAAAATTTGCTCGAGAATAGATTTCAACTTCACGACGAAGGATGTCTAGCTCGAAGCCAAACAACCGCGATTTCAACTCCACGACGGAGGATATCGTGACACTCGAGACAACACAAGTTCAACTTCACAACGAAGGGAAGGCTGGTTGTCAACAAACAACTTCTCAATTTCAGAGCCAATTTCAACTTCACAACAAAGGATATTGGACTCCAGACAACGCAAGTTCAACTTCACGACGAAGGGACCGCTGCTTGTCAACAACAACTTCTCAATTTCAGAGCCAATTTCAACTTCACAACGAAGGATATTGGACTTCAGACAACGCAAGTTCAACTTCACGACGAAGGGACCGCTGCTTGTCAACAACAACTTCACAATCTCAGAGCCAATTTCAACTTCACAACGAAGGATATTGGACTCCAGACAACGCAAGTTCAACTTCACGACGAAGGGACCGCTGCTTGTCAACAACAACTTCCCAATCTCAGAGCCAATTTCAACTTCACAACGAAGGATATTGGACTCCAGACAACGCAAGTTCAACTCCACGACGAAGGGACCGCTGCTTGTCAACAAAATTTCATTCAGAGTCAATTTCAACTTCACAGCGAAGGATATTGGACTCGAGACAACACAAGTTCAACTTCACAACGAAGGGACGGCTGGTTGTCAACAAACAATTTCTCGGTTTCAGAGCTAATTTCAACTTCACGACGGAGGATATTGGACTCAGAACAATGCTACTTACTTGGATTTCAACTTCACGACGAAGGATATCCAACTCAAAGAAGGATTATCTGCCATCAAAATTGTCGAGTTCGACTCCATTCAGCTCGATGACACATCAATCACACTACTTTCCGGTTGCAGTCGAGGTTTTCAAGTCGAGAAGATGACCTGAGTTAGCCGTGCCTTAGTGACAAGCAACCATTTTCAAACAACATAGCTTAAGTCAAGAAAAAGCTATCCGATCCAAGGTCTTTAAACCGAGAAGAAGACCGAAGGGTAACGGGAAGCCACGTGCTGATTCAAATTCCGAACTACGGTTTCAATTTCATATCATTTCAAGATGAACTCGACTTCACGATGGAGGAGTCATCCGTAACTCAATTCGACAGGGAGTTATTGAAACATCAGAGTTAATTTTCAACTCCACTGAACGAAAAGTGTGTCTTTTAATCTTTGCCCTATCCTCGTTACACGACTATGGGCAAAGAGGGGCAGCTGTCAACACACATTTTCGTCCTACTAGGATTCAAACTCCTAAAAATAGGATAAAATTTTGCTAGGATTCAAACTCCTAAAAATAGGATAAAATTTTGCTAGGATTCAAACTCCTAAAAATAGGATAGAGTTCTACTAAGATTTAAATTCCTAAAGATAGGATCCACAAGCACTATAAATAGCCATTGTAACTCACCATTGTAAGACACGATTTACACACAAAACATAGAGGAAAGCACGGGAAAATACAAAGGCAAAACTATTGTAAAGGATTCGAAAAGGAAATAAAAGGTAACATTTTCTTTTTTCTTTCTTTTGCATGTGCACGTTATTTTTCTTGAGATTTGGTTCGAATAACCCAAAACGTGGGTTGCGCCGTTGACCAAAATGGGTGGGGTTTCGAAGTTTCGAACGTAGATCTACCCCGAGGCTTATTTTTAAAAACCGGTTTGATTTTCGGTTAAAGGAGGGGAAGAGCTTTTTAAAAATCTATATTAGTCCATTTATTTATTATATGGATATTTTATTCATTTATTTTTATTATTCATGTTATTATTATATGTATATATATATATATAAATTATTTCATTTATTTTTACTATATTATATATATATATATATATTTCTTTAATATTTACTTATAAGCCTAATATTACTATATATATTGTAATTATCTTTATCTAGTAGTATATTTTTTATACTTTTAATAGTTTATTATACCTATTATTAAATATATATATTCTTAATTATTTTATTTGATTATTTCTTTATTTATGTAATATATCTTATAACTTTATATATTTATATTATTTTTTATTATTTTCGTTTTTTTTATTCATTATTATTATATTATTATTATTTTTTTTAAAAACCTTGTGTCTTTATCATTATTATTATTAAACATTATATTATATACTACTAACCTAGAGGACCCATTTTTTTGGTCTTATTTCTTACTAAAGCCCCCCACTTTCGGTGAATTGGGAGGGTAGCTTTTCTATTTTTAAGTATTTGGTGTATATATAGCTTATTTATTTTATTAATACTTTGATATATATATATATATATATATATATATATATTTTCCTTTTTCAAATATTACTATATATAATTATTACTTTACTATTTTTTTCTTATCTTACTTATTTATTTTATTTTTCCCTTGTATCTTATTTGTTTTCTTTACCTTGTTTATCTAACACATTTCTCGATTTTTTTTAAAGGATATTTTCAAATCAATCAAGGGTAAGTAATTAAGATCGAAACTTTACCTTTTAATTTAACTTGTTATTTTTCTTAATTAAGACAACTGGAAATTACGTAGTACCGAAAGGGCGGTTCAAGGGTGCTAATCCTTCCTTGACCGTAACCGACTCCCGAGCCCGACATATTTCTGGTAAGACGCAGATCAGGTAAGAAATAGGGTATCCGATCAACCCATTTATTTTTAAATAAATGATCGGTGGCGACTCCAATCCACATTTTTCTAAGTCGAAGCCCAATTTCGGAGCCCAACTGAAAGACGGTTGCGACAATAAGTAATTTACAAACAATTTAATTTCTATTTTTTTATTTTTATTAAGTTATATAAATGGTCTAAATAAATAACAAACTGAACATATTAATATGTTTAACTTAGTTATTTTATTGATGATAAACTGATTATAATTGATTTAAAAAATATTTAATTTTATACTTATAAATATATTCATTCAAATCCGAAAAAGACGTAAAGTTATAATATTGTAAGAATGTGATAAGTGGTCAAATTAATCTTATAATTAATTTTTAATTCAATTGATGATACTAATTAAATAGAAAACTTAATAATAAAAGAATCGTTAAAAATTAAAAAAAAAGATCCAATCAAATAAATCATTCATTTTTTATTAAAATTCTTTTTTTTATTAATCAGATGTAAGTATAAAGTAATATCTATTTAACGATAACTCTCAACATTTTGTTGTTGTTGTTGTTGTCTCAACGTTTTGACATTGAATGCTCACACCTCGGTATCTATGATGCTCGAACCAAGGTCCTCAAAGAATAGCTACAATTCCTTTACTACGAAAGTCACTTAGTTTGTGAATTAATTAAATTTCGATTTCTAACAATTTGCATAATTTCACTTCTTATCTAATTATTTTTTTAATTTAATTAATCTATTCTATTTTTGTCACTTATCTATTTTTGTAATTATATTTTGGTCATTTAATTATTTTTTTTAAAAATCATATACATAATATTATGGTTTGATTCTATTTTAATCATTTATCATTAAAAAATTAATGAAACATTAATGGTAATGCTAATTTATTACTATAAAATAATATCACATCATTGAAAAAATAAAAAATTACCACAAATAATTATCTATTTCCTATCAACGAGTGATCAGAACAAAATTAAAACGTAAGAGTATATATGATCTTTGAAAATAATAATTAAGTGACTAAAATAAAACTGCAAGAATAGGCGAGTCACTAAATATCTAAATTTAATTTTGATTCTGTTTAGGTGAAAGAGGTAGGCACCTCGTTCTCCGTCACACTTTTTGAAAAGCAGATGTTGCTTACTTCTGAAGCTGAATACAAAGGTTTTGACTATGCAACTTTATGGACAGATTAACAAGGGAACATGTACTGATAATTTAGGGATGAAATTAAAATATTTTAAAGTATGAGACCAATTTAAAATAAGGATCATAGTATCGTAAACCCGAACAAAGAAACCAAAAAAAAAAGAGGACCAAATTAGTCTTCTGCCTCGTATCGGAATTAGATTTGCTTCTAAAAGCCTCAATGTAAGCATCCTCGAGAAAATAAAGGGAAGAAGAGAAAAAATCCCACATGCTAAAACAACAAACGTAAGCGTCTATTTTCCTGGCCTAATTCTCGAAACTCACAATTTCCAAATGCCTTGGCAAGTGTTACAGTACTCCGTCGTCTACTTCTTCTTTGATTTGGAAGACGATTGAGTGAAAGCGGTTCCCTGAAAATTGGCACCCGAAACACGAAAAATGAAATTATCTGCGACAGTTCTATGCATATCGTTAAAGTATAATGAAGTCTCTGGTGAGGGATGAAAGGAATGAAAAGAAAAGTGAAGCTAACTAAAATTGAAATAATGGGAAGTGATGATACATAAGCCAAGTCATAACCTGAAGCCATTCCTCCATCGAGGCATCGGCACTCCTAGTCCCGACTTCCACCTTCGGAGCCCTCTTAGTTTTCTATCAAAATAAAGAAGCCACACATTAGCTTTATTCCACAAAGAAACATAAGATAACAAGTATATATAAATACAAGCTCTCTTTAATGTAAGAACAAAACATCGCTTGAGACTATATTGTTGAACATAATTACTGCAGTAAATTAATATATAACCGAAGCTAGCACCACTAGAATACCTTGGTGATGCGCTGAAATTGACCGTGAAGCCACAAACCAAGGAGAACCAGTAGTGCGATCCCAAGGGTAACAAGAAAAACGGACTCGACGCTGAGGAAACCACCAGCTTCAGCAACTTCAATGGTACCATTAAAGAATGTACTTTGGAATGGCTGCTGGTCGATTTCATAGATAACGGTACCCACAAGATCGAAAGTTCCAGGCTGCATCAAAATTCTAAACGTGTAAGCTTCATTGTAAGACTGCTTCTCATGGAAAGAATTTAAATACAGTTTTAGGGCATAAAACTCCCAGTGTAATCAATTACCTGTAGGTACTTGCTAACAGCAAATATGTAAGGGAAAGAAGCTTGCACTGAAGGGGGTACAGTTGCATTGTTGAAGGTCTACATTAAAAAGACATATTCAGTTACAGAATCTACTAGGAAACGTTGCAAGGCAGCTTTCAAGGAACAACACGTGACCTAAAACTCCAAAATGATAAGGTGCATGATCAACTTTGTACCAGAAGAGAACCTTAAAATCTTTTTCAAATAAAGCAGGCAATATTTGATAATAAAGTACCGAAAAGAAAACACACTTACATCACAGAATAATCAAAAGCACCTGCACACATAATAATTGCATAATGACCAATTAAAGCACGGAGGCCTAAATTGTATATACATGGCACATGCTCAATCTCATACATCTGAGAATCATTGTAAGGTATACACTTATAAGCTAATGTTTCTTAAATTGTGATACGAATGCTCAATGCAAGTTCAACATCCATCCATAATATTAGAGAACACTAGCTAAAATAACTCACTCCACTATAATTGTTATAGCTGATTAGAGTGGGGTTATGCAGTTGCAAGTGAAACACAAACTAAAAATTCACAATGCATAGAACTCATATCATTGATCATATGTTACACAAAGGATTTTAAAAGCATCAAATAAGATGCCATATGAACAAGAGAACATGCATGGCAAATATGAACATGATCTAGAAGATCAAACTCAATGAATGCTTAATTGTATTTATAAATAGACTAACCGAATGCTTAATTTTATTTATAAAACTAAAGGTCAAGTTACCCAATTATGCAAAGTTTTCAAGTTAGGAAATAAATCAAATAATATAGATTAATCAAAATGAAAACTGAACTAAGTGATGAATCACAAGTATTTGAATATGTTAAGCAGAACAATATAAATAAACTCTATGATTACCTGTACTGTAAGATTTTGAACAAGCATACGATGATCAAAAGAGAAATGAACACTGGCTTTGATAGCAATGACATTCACATGTGACTCCCCTGCAATTTAAACAAGTAAGCTAAGAGGAAGGAAACCTCAAATGGCTAATAGATAAGACTAAGCATTTAAGCATAGTAAACTAAGAAAAAATACATGTTATTATTTCAATACTGTGATATCAAATTTCATTGTAAAATGTATCAGTAAGGTAGTGAAGATATATTCATTACCAACATTTTCCATCCCCACGAGGAGCTCAGTCTCTTCACCAGCCAGAACCACTGTCCAAGGTTTTCCAACAAAAATACAGTTCAGCCTCAAAATCATATAATGTAAAATCCGGATGCAGTATCAAAAGGTTCTTACATTTGGCGCTGTTTTTGGGGAAAACACAGACAGTTTCAACTCCTGGAGCTGGACCAAAATTGGAATCACCAAAATCCTGAACATCCTCACCAACAATCCCGAGATCAACTCCTTCAACAGCTTCTCCAGCATCTGCCTCTGCTTCTGATTGACACCTAGCAACTATCACAGAAAAGAAAATTCATGTCAAGCCATAATTTCAAAACAAATTTGATGATTTATTTATGTAATAATCAATGAAAAGGTTAAAAAAAAGTAAACAAAAATTAATGCAACAAGAAAATACTACATGAGAAAAATATATGCTTCAAGAATGTTATTGAAAAGGACACCAAACCCCCCAAAGTACTCTTTCCTTTGCCTTTTCTTAGAGAAAACCTAAACTGTGCTTCTAAAAGCCACTATAAGTAACAATACGAACAATTATCGAGAAGATTCCTAAGCTTCTTTATGAACAAAACACAGAAAGGAAAAGAATCAAAGTTTCACAACCATGCAAAGCAACGGTGAGCTTGAAAACAAAGAATTCACTCCAAATTTCTCACTGTTAAATCATAAATCTAGAGAAACAAACCAATCTCACTTGGATGTAAAAACATATAGCAAAATAAATCGAAATGAATCTAATTTGAACAGATCAGAGTAAGCAACTAAGCGTGAAAACAGGAAATCCAAAAGCAACACCGAAAACTCAGCAAAAAGAAATGAATTCGGAACGCATAGATATATCCAATTACAGATCTTAAATATAAAGAAGCTAATCAATGTAGATCAAGCAAAAACATAATATAAATTTACAAACCTTGGAGCAAAGGAGAAGCGAGGAGGAGGAGAGCAAAGAAGAAAGCGCTGATGTTTTTCATCGCCATTTCACAGATTTTTTTATTTTTTTTGCCCTTTTGTTCGTCAAATCAAAGGAAAAAATCAGTGTGGGAAATTTATAGTCGACAAAAACGAGGGCCGGCGGGTTACGATCCAACGGTTGCGAATAACAGAGAACTCAGGCGAACGAACATATATCGTTGGATCTTATGGTTGATGGAGTGTTTAAAATAAGGGTAAACTACACGGGTGACCACTCAATCATGGTTGAAAATCATTTTGACCACTGATATTTTAGTTTGATCAAACAGACCACCTAACTATTTAAATTGTTCGATCAAGCCACCGATCGTTAACTTTTAATGGTGGAGGTGACATGACAGTTAAAATTTAACCGAGAGAATGACTCCTCAGTTAGCTTTTTGGTATAATTATATATTTGGTCATTGTTATTTACCCAAGATGTCTATAAAGCCCCGAATCCCGAGTTAGTAGTTCGGGTCAACCTGAAACCTAAAGTTGAGCCCATTTGGACCTTATAAAATAGTTGGACCTAATTTAGTGTTTTTAGGCTTGAGTTAGGCCTAAGAGTTAGCTGGTAAAAGATGAATGTCTTATGAATTAGAAAATAAAGGGACTAAAAATGTAATTTACCTAATTCTTAATTCAAAAGATGAAAACTCACCTATTTTATGAGATATACGGGAACAACTCACCATTTTTCTCACCAAACACTCATCTTCTTCTTTCATCTTTTCTATTTTCTTCTCACATCTTCAAGTTGAAGGATTTAGGACTTCAAGTTTAGTTTGGGTCAAGCAAAGGTAAGATTATTAACCCTTACCCTTCAAGCTTTATTTCAAGCTCCATTTCACTAGTTTTTATCCATAGAGAAAAAATAGGTTTTTTAGAGGGTTGTGAGAATCTATGGATTCTAGCTATGTTTTGGATTATAAGGAGTTATTTAGAATGTATTCAACCTATAGATGGATTAGTAATCCATTTTCTTACCTTGTTTAGTGAAGGAAGTGAGAGATAGTTCCAAATCAAAAGGCAAAGAAAAGTTAAGCATGGGTTGAGTTGAGTAGAGTTCTAGCCACCAAAGAAGCAAGGTAACACCTTTACAACTCTTCTATACTCTTTGTGAGTCATTAGAAGTTCAAAATAGTTTAAATGGTTGAGTTGTGCATGATAAACATTTTCATCGCGAAATTCTTGTTTTAGAGTTATAAATGTGTTTAAAGTCTCTATTATGAACCTTGTTGATTCATTAAAACTTTAAGCATTTTTGGGACCTCACTAAGGTTTTTGGGTTTGAAATATAACATTTTTAGTATGTGTCTGATGACGTCAGCATGTAGATTATCGATACTATTGGGATAGTATCTATAATTGTTCTTCATTTTGGGCAAATTCGCGTATTTCTTGTCAAAAGTATTGATACTCTTTCTAGAGTATCGAAACTTTGGGTCATAGTTTCAAAACTTCCATAAAGTTTCGAAACTTGACACAACAAAATGCTTAAAAGTATCGATACTTATATAAAGTATCGAAACTTTTGCAGGAGTATCGATACTTTCAGTCTGTTTTTGGGCAAAAATGTCAGTTTTTAAGGGAATTAGATTCGAGGTACCCAACACTTCATTTTATAATCAAAAAAAATTGCAAGTGATAATATTAATGATATTAATTACACTTAGAAACAAGATTTATTAGGATGACATAAAAATAGCCTTTGATGATACTTGGGAAACGACTAGGACACCCGAGTTCCTTTAGAAAATGTTAGCGTTATTGAAAGTATAGATTCAGTCCGGATATATCCAGGGTAGACTAGAGGGGTGTGTGAGCTCCGAGATGCAGAACTCTCAGTTGCACCATGATGTCTACCATAACATAGAGGGTGAGTATTAGAGAATACTCACTAAAATAGTTTTAAAGCAGACTAGCTTGGGCACAAGGTCCAACACTTAAGTAGTGGGCTAGTAGAACAAATAGCAGTAGACTTGATAGCTTGAGCATGTCATGAACACTTTTAGTATGACTTAGTTGTTAGTGTGGCACTAGGCTAGTTAGCTCAGCGTTTGGAATTTGTTTCCTTACGCAGGTTAGACGAGAAGTAGTCTGAGGACTTTTTGGGACCAACAGTGATCCAAACTCAATTAGTGCAGAGGACGTCAAGGTCATCTTTATAAAGGGCATGTATACCTGTGAACCCTTTGTATAATTTTGTATGGGTCGTTTTCTAGCAATGATCTGTATAATTTGAAATAATATTTTTGGGAGCTCTTGATGTAAACTGTTAGGTGACTGTTAATGTGCATGTGCGCATATGAAGGCAGTTAGTTTGTTAGGCCAAGGTTGTTAGTCTGTTAGTTGGTTAATAGAACTGATGAGAGCCTAACTTTCTGTATAAATACAATGTACCAGCAGATATGCAAAAGTAAGTCATTTTTACCTGTGTATATTCTTGTTTACACTCACTTTCCAATATGGTATCTTTCGCCGAGCTTCCTGGGGATTATTGGTAAGCTTTCGCTGCTGCGTGCTCTCGTCGATAGCCATGGAGTCGTCCAAGAGTTTTGCACACAAGAAAGTAAGTATCATTCTCGATGAAATGAATTTTCTACTGTGGAAACAGCAGATTTTACTCACGGTTAGAAGCCACCGTCTCGAACGGTTATTGACCGGTGCCTTGAAACCGCCACCGGAGACGGTTCTTGACAACAATGGCGAACCGATCGTCAATGATGCCTTTGAAGAATTCGTGGCACAAGACAGTGCGTTGGCATCGTGGTTTCTTTCCACCATCAGTCCTCACCTTCTACAACAATTCGTTGGAGCAGATTCAGCTGCCACAGTGTGGAGCACGGTACCAACAGTTGTTTGCCAGCAGATCTACTACTGCTGCCATGGGATTGCACTGTAAGTTGCAATCGTTAAAGAAAGGGAATAATACTATGAGGACATATCTTACCAGAGTTAAGGAGGTATGTGACGCACTTGCCTCTTGTGGAAGTGCTGTATCACAGGTTGGTCACATAGCTAGTGTGCTGAAAGGATTACCCAGGGAATACCAACCATTCATGGCGGTTATCACTACATTGAAAGAAACTCTCTCACTGGAGGATCTTCATACAATGCTTCTTGATGCAGAAGCTCAACTAGCTGGTTTTGATGAGTCTTTGGACTCATTACCTATGAGTGCCAATGTTGCTCAACATGAGGTGAAATTCTCTAATGACAATCGTGGTTCTAGGCCCTATCGAACGTCTTCAGGAAATCAGTCTGCTGGTCGTGGCCGAGGAAGGACCAGAGTGCAATGCCAGTTGTGCGGCAAGCTGGGTCATCTCGTTGATCGCTGTTGGCATCGGTTCGATGAAGATTTCATGTGCGTTACTACTAAGTCTCGACCTCACAAAAGTCAACCTGCCCATGCCCATTACTCAGCTGCTGAAACGTCCAGTTCGGGGTGTGACCACTGCAATGGTCGGTCTCAAACAAGAGCATGAATGCCACAGGCCAATGTGGCTTCTAAACCAGCCGATCTCTGGGTAGTGGACTCGGGTGCGACTCACCACGTTACCCCTGATATTAACAATGTTCCTAACTCCATGAGTTTAGAGGCCAGGTAAATTAACTGTGGGAAATGGGGTTTCCCTTGACATTCATAATATTGGTAATTCGGTTATGGACTCTTCAGAGCGTTATTTTGAATGACTTATTGCATGTACCCCGTATAACACAAAATTTACTTTCGGTCTCCAAGCTTGCTAGGGATAATGCAGTTTTGTTGAGTTTCATGCTGGCAAGTGTCTTGTGCGAGATGAATCAACTAGAGATGTTCTGCTGCAAGGTGAAGAAAAAGATGGTCTGTACACCTTTGCCTTTGGTTGCTCACGTAGATTAGAATCAAGTGTTGCTGCTCATGTCGTGACTGCGGATGTTACTCGAGCACAGTCTGAACTATGGCACCGACGCCTAGGACATCCAGCGCAATATGCTTTAGATAAAGTAGCTAAAGAAGTCAATGTAAAGCTTGATTCCGAGGTTAATAAAACATGTGTGGCTTGCCTTATGGGCAAGAGTCACAAGCTTCCTTTTGATCCTTCTAAAACTCTGTATAAAGATCCTTTTGAGCTTATTTTCTCATACTTATGGGGACCCCCACACGTCGCATCTAACGGATTTCGATACTACATTTCGTTTGTTGATGCGTATACTCGGTTTACATGGGTATACTTTCTAAAAGACAAGGCTCAAGCCTTATCTGCTTTTCAGCTTTTTTACAAGCTTGTATTGAATCAGTTTGGTGTATCGATTAAGGCAATACAAACAGACTGGGGAGGAGAATATCATCCCTTCTCCATGATGCTAACTCAAGCAGGCATAATACATCGACTATCCTGCCCTCATACTTCGGAGCAGAACGGCATTGTCGAGCGCAAGCATCGTCACATAGTCGAGCTTGGACTGGTCTTGCTGGCTCAGGCATACTTACCTATTCAATACTGGTCGTATGCTATGACAGCAGCTGTGCATCTCATTAATCGGCTACCAACCAAGGTGCTTGATGGGCTATCACCTTTTGAAAAGTTGTTCAGCAAGAAACCTGAATATACTACTCTAAAAGTCTTCGGGTGCCAGTGCTTTCCTTACCTAAGGCCATTTCAAAACTATAAGTTGTCTTTTCGTTCTCAACCTTGCACGTACTTGGGATTCAGCCCCCGGCATAAGGGTTACCAATGTCTTGCAGCTGATGGAAGGGTTTATATTTCGCGATACGTGGTGTTTAATGAAATGGTGTTTCCTTTTGCAGGTAAAGAGGAAGTCAACTCCCAGCACAAAGCTACTGTCCTTCGGCCACAAAATATTCCGGTTGTTACCAATATGAAAAGGTGGCAAAATGTGGTTTGTACTACTCGGGATGGAGATGGTGTGGCTGAAGAAGTCATCTTAGACCAAGCACAACAAACTGAGGTTGTTGCTGAAACTACAACCCCGCTAGAATCAACCGATGAGGTTACTGGGTGGAAAAATGTGGCTTGTACTGCCCATGATAGAAATGGTGTGGCTGAAGAAGATGTTTTTAGACCAAGCACAACAAACCGAGGTCCTAATGTAGCTGACTCAGA